CCACACCAGAATGGATTAACGGTAATTACATTGAACCTTATGGGAAAATTTGCTTCGGGTCATGACCAATTCGGGTCGCAACCAGAGTCACGGAATGAATTAAGTTTGTAAACCGAGGTTCCACTATATATTATCTGAATCTGGACCATGGATCCAACTGTAGAGGCCTTAACCATAACCTATAACCGTTTATAATTAATGCATCTTAATCTAGGTTCCTCATGTTATCCAGACCAATTAATCTGTACTGAACTTTTCTCTTTTGGCCTGTGGCCAAAGAGACTGGAACAAGACTAGCTGTAAAATGTTGGGGGTTTTTTTCCTGATGTTTTTACTCTGTTGTATAAAATGAAGACCATCATGCCAAACTAGGCTTAATGCATTATGCAAATACATTAAAACTGTGGTATGCCAAATGTTGGCGTATTATAGTTCTTAGCAGCCTGGGCCAGCATCTACAGTGGTGAAGGAAGCTGGAAGCTGTAGTTCAGCTATATCCGGAGTGCTACAGGTTACCTGTTCCTGCTTTATACACAAACAAAACCATTGTAAACTCAGCACATAAGAAAAAATTCTCTGTTGTACCCCCTTTTCTAAAGCAGCAGGCTCATTAGGTAGGTCTTTCATATCCAGGTAAAAACCCAGTTAGGATCTCTGTATTTCTTTGCTGCCATCTAGTGCATGCCAGATTTTTGCAGTTATGGTAGCCCTATCATTGCATAGAGCCAGTTTGGTGTAGTGGTTAATGTACCAGGTTAGAAACCGGGGAGACCATGAGTTCTAGTCCCACCTGAGGCACAAAGCCAGCTCAGTGACTTTGGGCCAGTCACTCTCTCTCTGCCCTAGGAAGGAGGCAATGGTAAACCAATTCTGAAATCTTGCCAAGAAAACTGCAGGGATTTGTCCAGGCAGTCACAGGAGACAAGACTGGCTCCAAGGCATAAAATAATAATAATAATAATAATAATAATAATAATAATAATAATAATAATGATGATGATGATGATGATGGTGATGGTGATGATGATGATGATGATGATGATGTGTAATATTTTGATCACAATGCCTTAGCACAGCTTGGTCAAGAGGGAACACAGATACTGATCCCAAGGTTTCTGATCCTTAGATTCCTAGTTCCAAACACCATGTTTCTATCTGCATTACTTATGATTAATTCAATTTATATACCCCCCCACTAGATATGTGACTCAGTGCAGTGTACATAATTAAACAACTAACAAAAATAAACAGCGGAACAAAATTTTATTAAAACATACTGCATTGGAGGCTATGCAGACAACCAGAACAATCAAAAATAGACTCATAAAGCCTCCTGAGCCAGGTCTTGGGCCATTGCCAAATAGAGCAAATCTCATGGGGTTTTCTTCAGCAGTCTTCAAAACATTTAAAAAACAATTCCCCTGATTGCAAATGCATTTATTTTGCAGGCTCTGAAAAAACTAAAGGCTGTCTGCTTTAGATTAAGCTTGGGACCCTGCCTCATAGAAGCATGTACAGCAGCTGTCGTATCTCATTTTCTCATGCACCTGCCATGGCAGTGGGGATTTATACTTGGGTAAGCCACTCTTCCAACTTAAAAAATAGCATTTATTTTTCTTTCCTGGGCCAACACTGTCTTTCCTCTTCCATGGAGTCATGGGCACAGTGTGGATGTCACATCTGGTTTGGTTTGCTTGTGCTGTGTAAGAGTGGGCATACGTTCTTTCCTACGACAGATGATTAGGGTAGGAATTAAAGCCCCGATCCATAAATACATCTGGAATTTACAAGGTTGTATATTCAATCAGATAATCTAGATTAAATCGTTATTAATTCAAGTGAAGGTTTTCTTTAATTCCGTTCAGAAGTCTTTAAAAAGATCTTGTCAAGACGTATCTTTAGCAACAATTTCTTAATAAAACCATAACCGGATGGTTTCATGTAGCATGCTGAACCCCAAAATAGTGTAGTGTAATGGTGAAGCTCTTGGACTAGAAGCAGAAAGGTTCAGGTTCCAGTCCTCTCTCAGCCCCAGAAGCACTCTGGATGGCCTTGGGATAGTCATCTCTCTTTCAACTCAACCTACCTCACAGAGTTGTTCTTGTGGTGAAAAATAGGAGAATGGAAGGTTATGTATAGCACCTTGAGCTCCTGAATCAAAGGTAAGATACAAATAATCATCAACAATTTTGTTTTGCAAACTCCAATAGTTGGGTTCATGCCATACGTTAAACCACAATAAACAAATAATATGATCTACTATATGACATAAACCCAGTCTGCTGAAAGGAATCAGCCTATATTCCTAACATAAAATAATTCTTGTGACACTATTAGCACTTTTGTGGTGTATTTTCCAACTCACAACACAGTTCCTCAGTTTTCCCTTTCTCTTGTGAATTGCAGATCATATTCTGACTAAGGAAGCTACCAGAAAATGGAGGAAATATACTCATATTGATGTAACTAAAAGTTCATGTGTGTGTGTGTGTTCAGATTTGTCCTAGGTGCTGTGTCTCCTGCTGTTGTAGTCCCCTCAATGTTGGTTTTACAAGCAGGAGGATATGGTATTGACAAAGGTGTCCCAACTTTGCTAATGGCTGCAGGAAGTTTTGATGACATTCTGGCTATCACAGGTTTCAACACCTGCTTAGGGATAGCATTCTCTTCAGGTACTTGTCTACTCTATTGATAAACCACATCAAAGCCACTGTCTTCTTTGTGATAATGCTAATTTATTCTACACAAGTAATATGTTTTGTATAAAAATATATATACCCAGATGCTGATTTTATACCAGAATCTTTATTTGTGACACAATTCATAAAATTCATAGAATGAGAAAATTGTCCCTGTGGTCAGGATGAACCTGAGACCTTGGTGCAGGTATTTCTTCACTGTCCCTTCTATATAAACTTACATGGTGGTATACCTTTACCACCTCCTAGCAGAGGTCAAGGTTTCAATGAGGGAAAAGTGGTTTGTTTTCTACTCTCAGACTGGAACCCTGCTATTACAAATGGAGTTGCCAAGTTCTTATCGGCCACTATTGCCCTAAGGAGGTTTAAGGTGTCCTAATCTTGGAACAATGTCATGATGAAGTCCTCATATACTTTTATTTACATTTTATTTTTATTTTTTCAATTTTGTTTTGCTTTATTTCATTCTTTTTTGTTTACTTTTTATATGTGTACATTTTAATTGGCAAGTCTATAGGTGGTTTTTATTGCTCTTATTGCATTTGAGCATGTTTTAGGGTTGTAGCTACTTTGCTGGTCATTGACCATAAATAAAAGTTTTCAGGCACATTGAGATTTAGCACTTGTTGTAAGCAGGAGTAGTTTTGGGTTACACAAAGCAAGGAGGGGAACCTGTGGTTCTCCAGATACAGCTGAGCTATAACCCAGCAATATCAGCCAGCATGGCTAGTCACAACAGATATTTAAGGACGAAGTGTAAGGTTTGGTTTTAAGTATATGGAAACTGTCCTGTACAAGAGTTGGAAATATTCTGGAAACCTCTGGGATAGTTCATCCTTCCATATGCTGGTCTTTGACCGTAATAAAATTTGATTTGATTCATCCTTCTTCCCCTGCAGTGATTTCTCAAGAATATTCTTGTTTCCAAAATGTTTTGGGCAGTTCTGATATTAACCTATTACCCAAATTCAGCTTGGGGTACCTGAGAGAATGCTTCCTCTCACACAGATCTTCCTAACTACTATTATCCTCATCAGAGACCCTACTGATTGTATCACATACTATAGATGTAGCATATATTTTCTGGAACACATTTTCCTTTGAAATAAAGCTTGTTAAATAATGTTAAACACAATATTATTTGAGAATATTAGCCCTTGTACTATCAGATTTGGAGAATCATAAAAGCATGCAATATTCATTTCCAATATAATCTTACAAATATCCAGACCATTATTTACATACCTAACAATTGTAATTCAATAGGACAAAATCAATATATGATCTACTATAGCTTCAAATGGTTCAGCAATTCCTGGAATACCACCTGTTTCCTTCTCTGAGGTACAAAATTCAGCTAGAAGGACTTTCAATTCCCCCTCCTCTTTTACTGCCTACTTTTTGTATAACAATCAAAACTTTGGATCTTGTCTCTGGCAGGCCAGCCATGCTTGTAAGTGCCAGCTGGGTGACCATCCAAAAACCCATCTGAATCCTCTTTTTCTGCTTTGCCAAAACAGGCTCCACCCTTGAAAACGTCCTTCGAGGTGTATTAGAAGTTGCAGTGGGTATAGCAGCTGGTGGACTTTTAGGCATTTTTATTCGTTACTTTCCAAGCAAGGATCAGGTAAGGAGAGAACACCATTTGAAATGTAGCAATCTGGTATCTCTTAAAGCATGAGAAGAAACAATAACAACACATTTAAAATGAACTCTCCATCACACCTTAGCCAGAATGATAGGTATAGCAATACACTGAATATCTGGCAGGGTTGTAAATGCTTTGATCAGAAGAATCCTTTGGAACTCATGCAAATACCAGCACAGCATCCCTGTGCTATGCACTGAAGTTGTCTATCTTTGTTCAGGCTTCTGAAAAAAATCACAGGTGACCTTCCTTTTCATATTAGCCAAGGTTTACAAGATTTGCCAAGGATTTACAAGATTTGTACAGCCACACAAATCCAAAATATTGTATTCTATTCAAAGTTTCTTGTTATGTTTGGATTGACATTTATGAAGCATATCTTTTGCTTTCTCCAATTTCTCTCTCTAGGCATATCTTGTATGGAAGAGAGCATTCTTTGTTATAGGCCTATCAATGTTTGCAATTTTTAGCAGTATGTATTTTGGTTTCCCTGGATCTGGAGGACTGTGCACAATTGTCTTGGCATTTCTGGCTGGATTATCATGGTCTGATGAGAAAGTGAGTATTTAGCTATCATGTAGCCAGAAAGTCACCTTGGTTCCAAAATATGAGAGTTTGTGAAATATCCTGGACAAGTTGAATGTATAAGAAAATGTTTCAACCTAGACTACTTTGATTCCAGATTCTAGCCATTTCTTGGTGGGCTATTTTGAGATTCTCCATCCTATGGTTTATGGGCATTTTTAAAAATAATATTTCTACAGATTTGAGGGTTTCTTCAAGCCCGCTACCTTCTTCCTGTAAGTGGTACCCTCTTGAGTTCATAAGCAGTGATGTTCAGCTTCTGAAAAAGAGAAAACAGTGCTAATATTGCATCACAGTAAACAGTTATTCTTAACTGAGGCTGTGGCTTGGTCATGTAGCTTTTTTCTATTCAACCAAAGCAAATGTTGTTATGGATAATTTTTCTGATGAAGCTAGTATACATCTCTATTCAGTATTATGAAGGAAAGTGAATGGGACTAGATGAGAAACAGTGGGTTTTAATGAAAAAAGGAGAACCCGGGAAAAGAACTACCATCTTTTTAGTTAGTTCTGTAACTAAGCATATTAGAACAACATGTTATAGAAATAACTTAAAGATGGTATCAGTTTAGATTATGTTTGTGGTGGTGGTACAGAACTTTATAAAAAGTGGAAGAACTATAATTTCAAAGCTCCTTTCAAGTTATTAGAAGAGTCCTTAGTGACATCTTTGAAAGGTCGTGATGCCATCTTTATAAATAACGATAGAATCACTCTTCCTAAGATGAGAGTAAGAAAATGAATTATGGGTCACTTAATTTTTTGAAAGTCATATTTAATAATACAAAAACAATTGAGTTTATGTTACTGTATATCTTCTGCATGAGTGTGCAATACTGTACAACAATGCATGCTTTTGCTTTTTTTTTTGCAGAAAGAGGTAGAAAAAATTATTAAGGTTGCATGGGAGATTTTCCAGCCTTTTCTTTTTGGTTTAATTGGAGCTGAAATATCTGTTGCATCTCTTGAGCCTCAAACAGTTGGTACGTATTCTGCCAAGAAGGTATTTATGGCTTCTCTCTTTGGAGGGGATAGCTAATCAGAGGGAAGATTATGCCGTCCAGCTGTTGAGATGATTAAAAAAAAAACAGGAATAATTAAATCTATTTCTTTGCTGCAGGATTCTGTATTGCCACACTGGCTGTTGGACTTATAGCCCGAGTTACAGTCACATTTGTGTTAGTGTGTTTTGCTGGCTTTGACCTGAAGGAGAAAATATTTATTTCACTGGCTTGGATCCCCAAGGCCACCGTGCAGGTATATTGCATGCTTATGGCAGATTTCTCTCTTCTGGTAATGAAGTTAATTGTACCCATTATTCCTTGCAAGAAAGTTTAAAATTTAATTTATTCATCCATGCGCTGTCCTTACTTTCAGCCTTTTCCCACTTCTTTTTTATCTTATTCGTTGTTCACATTTTTTCCTGAATAGCAGAAGCTTCGTTGCCTAGTAAAGACATAAACTCCCCATCTCCTATCCACTGCTGGGAAATGAAGATGCTGCTCCAAGCATTTTATCTTTATTCCGGTGCAAGCCAAGATCACTCACAGTCAGGATTTGCAATCCTGTTTTCAAATTTCCTTTTAGGAACATAATTTTTGACAGCACTAATGCGACAGCTATACCAAAACATCATACAGCTATTTCCTTAAATGTAGTGAGATGTTCCACCTGTACTAGAGAAGTGTAGGCAACTATAGCACCATTGTGATGAATCACAAGGCTGAACCTTCCTAAATTGGATATAAGATCTTCCAGAAGCAATAAGAGACTATTCATCTGATATTGTAACTATAATCAAGTTCAAGACTGACTTTGGACCATGCACCTCATAGTCAGTTTATCTGTCTTAATCATATGTGAGCAACCCAATGTGTATAGGCTCTTTGTAACTCTAGGATGTTTTCAGTGTTGTCAATGTGAATGTTAAGTCACTGCCACCAAATTTTGCTTGTATGTGTAAGTGAGAGAAAGAGTAGAGTGACAAGAGGGAAATTAACCTTCACAATACCCTCTACTATTTCTTGTCATCCCAAAACTACCAATTCTCTGTCTTAACTTCTAAGGTAGGAAAGTCCAATCCACCTGAACTTCAAAAGTATAAACAGTGCTTTGAACTGTATTAGTAAGGCTCTTAAAAGAGACTACAGATTCTAAACCAACACTGTACTATAAATACAGTCCTAGCTTGTTGCAAGTTTTGCTGCTATATTTTTCACCAAGGATAGCCCTCAAACACTTTAAGACTGATTACAGTAAATCAGATTTCGAAAATATTATATTAAGGATGAGCTAACCCCCTTTAAAACAGTAACTTACAATCCAGTCCTCTTCCAAAGCATCAGTAAAAGGAATCTCTTAAAATAAGACATTGTGAAATTCAGTTGATTAGATGGACACCAATTTAGATGTTCTTGAAAGGGGGCAAAACACATTCACTGAGAATTGGTCTCTTAATGACTGCTAGTCTTAATATCGAGGTACTATCACCTGAAAGGTAGATAGCATACCTTAAATACCAGCTGCTCGGGAACAACTAGGTTGTTGTCCACCTAGTTGGCTGCTGTATGGTATGGAATGCTTGATGAGACAAGCTCTTGGACTGAATTTTTTAAATGTTCATTTGTTGGGTGATCTGTTATTTCTTTTCTCTCAACAGGCTGCAATTGGTTCAGTTGCCTTAGATACAGCACGGGAGCAGGCAGATAAACAATTAGAGAAATATGGCATGGATGTCTTGACAGTTGCTTTCCTGGCAATCTTAATCACAGCTCCAATTGGAGCTCTATTAATTGGGCTCGCAGGGCCCCAACTTCTCCACAAAACTGCTGATACTAACAGAGAAGATCATATATATGAAGAAAGAGAAGAAATAGAAATACATGGGCCAGCATAGGTAAGTGTGAGGTGTGGCTCACAGATCACCTGACTTGAGACTGCTTAGGAATCACGGTGTCCACAAGTAACCTACAGAAGTTTAAAGGCCTATGAAATACACTGTAGATCTTTCAAATATATGTATACATTTTTAAGATGGCACCTGTAGGAGTTGTTTAGTCAGCGCCAGTGTTAGTTGTAGTGGTTTGAGGGTTTTTTTTTTTTGGTAGTTAGCAGTTCATTAGGTGAAGAGATTAGTGGCTGCTGAATTAGAGTATATTTAAAGTACCTGAAGGAAAAGAATAAAATGAAGCTGTTTAAGTTAAACATACCTAGGTTAACAGAAGTCTTCTAGATGCACTGCCTGGGTGAGAGCTAGGGATTTCTGATAAAGACTTCCACCCCTCCCTTTTGTGGTGGGAACATAGTGAGGATTGAAATATTTTTTTGACTGGTGGGGATTTTGGTAGCCTGAAATCTTCTCTGAGAGATAGGTTGGTAAGGGTAAATTAGTGTAAAGTAGACTGTATGCAGATAGTGTTGAAGGGAATTGGTGTGTTAGGTGTGTAAATGGTAGGTGCCAGGCTAGAAGTGTTCTTAAGAGGTAGCTAATGCCTGTGGTATGTGTGTTGGATGGGAGCATGGCAAGATAAATAGGAGGAAGTGGATGCTGTGATGGGGGCCCACCTGTGGATTATGACAGTCGGAGGTAGGTATGATAGGAAGCACCAGCTTGACCATTATAGGAGAAGGGAGGCCCATATATTTGTGTAGGTCTCTTCTTCTTAGCCAGATATTCCAGACCAGGGCCCGGGTAGCTGAATTGCTGGGCATCTTAGCCTCTAGTTACTGCTGGAAAATGGTGAGTCAGTGCAAAATATGACCTGTTCCAAGAGTGATTGAATACAAATGCCTGTATATGGCATTGGACTATGGAGAGCCCTCCATGAATTTCTGGATTTCATCTCAGGGATGGTGTTGGGCCTCCCAAGACTGAGAGGTTGGGGAGACTTTGATCTTCATGCCCTGGAAGAGAGATTCAGTGTATTTCATGAGTTTATGGTGATCATGGGCCTGTCTCAAGTAATCCAAGTGCCAACAGATGTAAGTCAACACTCATTAGACTTTGTCTTTACTTTGGAACAAATAAGACAGAACTGGAGATGGAGGACACTGATACCTATCCTCTGCTATGGTCGGATCACTACTTCATCAAATTAATAGACACCCAAGACTTCCTCATGCATGGTGAACCCTTTCAATTGGTGTGCTCCAGGACCTAGATGGATTCCAGTGGACTTCAGAGGACATGGGAAGGATCTGATAATCTCCTGAATTATTCTGTTTTGTGTCTGGCTGACCTATGGATCCAGCTGTTTCTGACAACTGGGGGGGAGGGCACTACTTTTTTATATGTTCCTTTTTTTATGACCTACTCCGTTCTACATTGCCCAGTATATACAGATTGAAGTGGGCTACAAAAATTGTAAAATAAATACTATTGAAAAATAAGATTTCATTCAATCAATATCCAAATGTGCCTTCATCCTTCTGGAGAAGAGCAGTCACAAACACAGTGCATAATTTGGACATAGTATTTTACTGATGAAATAAATAGCAGCCAGATTTGGAGATACAAATACTAGCTAAAAGGAGAGAAGTACGTATTTCATACGGCTTCCAGTATTAAGCATGGAACAGAGACATATGTAGGATCAATACGGGGAGGAAATAATCAAAGACTAAATTTAGGAAGTTCATAATAGCTAGTAAAAGATCATCTCTGATCATTGTTTTCAGCAGATAAAGATGGTAACTTGTGCTATTCATGGTTGCATACCATTTTTGGAATAATTCTGTACCATCCTAGAACTGATTTCCCCCCTCCCCCTTATATATAAAACAAAGTGGCTTAATGAGCAAATACTCAATTATTGCTCTCAGCCAATTAAATGAACCTTACTATGCAATTTCTATGTTCACGCAGCTCCATTGAGTTCAGTGGGTCTTATTTTTAGGTAAATATAGATAGGAATGAAGACTTAGTGAATTGAGTCTTCCAAAACCTTTGTAAATTTTTCTACATACAGTACATACACTTTTAGAGGAACTCTTAGAGGAACTGTCTTATTTCTCTCAGGCATAAGGCATACTATTCTGGTTTGGTTTGGTTTGGTTTTGAACTCCCTTGTCTTGAAAAATAAACTTTAAAAAATCCTGCCTAATAAATCAAAGGTGCCTTGGTAGTTGAACATTATGAGATATATTCTGAAATGATCTACCATATGTCTGTACCAGCACAAATATAACAAGCCTGACCAAAATATAAAAAAAGAGGCAACTATTCCAAACATTAAAAATCAACTGAGGTATGAGACATAATTATGAAGAAAATAAAAAAATACCTTAAAAGAGTAAGGACAAATAGCAGTCATACAATAAGATTTTATATTATTTTTGTTCAAAGCAAAAGGAATTGTATTTTCCAGATCATGCATTGCTGAGCCTGAAAAATATTCCACTGAGCTATGGTTTGCTTAAATAATAACCTGTGGTTTATTTAATGACCACAATTGGTTTAAACTATAAACCACCTGCAAATCATACTGGATGGGTTGATGCGATATGCTAAACCACGAGCAATAACTTCATTTTAGCTTGGCATCGTGGGCTTCCACAGGTGGAGCAGCAAATGATCACAATATCACAATGCAAACTCTACCCCTTTTGTACTTGCACCATGATTCACAAGTGCATAATGAGCTGGCTTGTATCAGGAAAAACTGGTTGCTGCAGACGTGCTTGGCCTGTTGTGTAAACTCCACCTCCATATTCATTTTCATGAGAAAACGTTGTCTCTGTCACCCCCCCATCTAATTGCACTTTATATCTTATTATTGATATGTATGGAGGCAGAACAGTAATTATTTTTGGAAATGTGGTTTTAAAAGCAGGGGAAGGCAGCAGATAGGAGCTGATTAAGCTTTTGTGAGATCCCCTTCCAGTGCACTGACTACAGTTGTGTGACCTGCTAAGCCAAAGAGATCCAGTTTATGGGCACGCGTGGGCTGCCATCTTATTCCACCCCGCCCCCTCCGTGCTGCTCTTCAGCCATAATATAATATAATATAATATAATATAATATAATATAAGTCTTTGGCTTATTGTATTAAAGAGCCATTTAGGCCAATCTAACTCCTGCTCAGTGCAGGGATCCAAATTTAATCAGCTGGGCCCCTCCAAACACATCTAACACCACCTGCCTTGAGTAATTGGTTCCACTCTTGAACCATTCTTACTGTGAGATTGTTTTTTCCTAAGATCCAACTGGACTCGACCATCCTGTAACTTAAATTCATTATTTTGTGGCGTGGAAAGAGAGAGAACACAGCCAGATCTATATGACGTGCCATTCTTTCAGATACTTCTATTATATACCCCTTCTTTTCTCAAAGTTAAGTTTACCCAGCTCTTTCAGCTTGTCCTCATAGAGCAGTGTTGTCCAAACTTGGCCACTTTAAGATGAGTGGACTTCAACTCCCA